TCTTGAGTCCTTTGGTTGAGTAGTTGATTGTTCGTAAATTGTTTTGAGAACCGGAAGCGATTTCCCCGATACCCTAGCCCCTTCATCATTATTTGAGTTTAAACTTTAAATCACAAGTTTAAGATTGTTAGCTTGTTCTTATTATTCGTAGTTAATATTCAAAACCCCCAAATTTGAATTAGAATGTTTAGGACTTGTTTCTTATTTTTGTGTGTTTGAATAGTCGTGCAATTTATTCCGGCTGACCTTCCTCGTGAGACACGACCCGGTGTTGAATCTTTCGATTCTACTCCGGTAAAAATATCTACAACAGGACCGCACCCGTTCTAACCCTCTTTTTGCACTGTTAAACGTAATAAGTCGCTTGTGAGTTCGACTCATTAAGACTCGAGTTCGGCTTGACTTTTTTTATTAACGAACCGTGCTCGAGCTCATTGAAAGTTCGTTTAGTTACCGAGTCAGCTCGGCTCGTTAGAGTTTGAAAATAAGAAGCTTTATATAATTTTATATAGTTCGGATCGTTAAGATTCAGTTCGTCTTGTTAAGACTCGAGCTCGAATTAATAATATTGATAATTGAGTCAAGCTTGAGGTCAAATACTTTTTAGTTAACGAATGGAGCTCGATTCAGCTCAACTTGTTTACACTCCTATATTTGATGACAAAAAAAAAGTAGTAAGCATTATATACATCTAACAAAAATGTGAATGTTAAGGGTAGAATGGGTCATAATAATATGACAACTTCAATGTAGAGATTATGATGGTTAGGAGTAAGGGTGACTAGTTGTAAATAAGAGAATAAAATGAAATAATGGCTAGCAAATAAAAGTTTAGCTTGAAACTAAATTTGGACAAAAAAAAAGTATAAAATCATCATGATTTGTTAGCTAAAAGCGTGGCACACGTGTACCCATGAAAAAACTTAACTAGAGGGTCGCTTTAACAGTTTACTTTGTCAATTTTCGGTTTACGTTGCATGAAGATCGACAATTTTCAGAGAGAATGAATAGATACATAGATCGACATTTAGGTTTGAATGTGGACCGGCTCCTTGGATCGTTTGTTTTTGCAATTTTAGATTCACTTAGATGTAGGTCTTATTTTTAACATGGTTTACACGGTTCTATACTTAGTTGTTGCTCAAAACGTACAAGTAATTTTCACATATAACGGTGTTTATTTTAGGAGAGAATTTCACTTTTTAAAACCAAAAATGTGCATGCTTTACAATTAAGTATCCAAGTTACAACTACAATCAATATTGTTCAATATTTTAAAAATTACAAAGCAACATGTAAATCAATTTTGTTAAAAAATTTAAAAATTACAAATTCAAAATCGCTTAAAACTAATATTCGCCGCCGTCATCGTCGTTCGTATAGGTAATTTTCAATAAATTATATATTATTTTTACACCCTTTATTAGACTTATCCAGTGATACATTCAATGTCATTATACAAAATATTCTGGTTTCATCAAAATCATTGTTAATTTACAGTATAAAACCTTTTTTTAAGAGAAAAAAATAACGGTATTTCCCATCATCAACCAAAACTTTCCATCACAAGTAATACAAGGATGAAAATAACGGTGTTTCCATTCCCATCGTCAACCAAAACTTTCGAAACGTGCGACCTGCCACTTAGGGTTAATACAATCGAAAATTATATACAATGAAAATACATAGAAAAAAAAGTAACTAATATGTGGTATCTTGGCATTTTAAATGAAACACCACATATGGTCGGAATTAAGGCATGTTATCTAGCTTACATAGTTACGAGTGCGTCGTTTTCGTTAGTACATAAATTCAATGTCACGAATTATTAGCCTGTAAGTAGTTAATAGTTATACTTTGTAACAAAATATATATACATGTACTATGAAATTTTACATTTTTATTAACATTATGTTTTAAAATATGAGATTCGAGCATAAAAATGCGAACATTTGTTAGATAGTGTGAGTATGATTATAGTTTAAAACGAAACGAGTCGCCCGCAAACTCGACTCAACTCGCTAGGACTTAATTTCAAATGAGCTCGAAGTCGAGTTCATTTCAAGTTGGTAAAGCTTGTTAAGCTAGAGAAAACGAGGTTTTTACGTGGTTTTTTAATTTTCAGCATAATGCGGCTTTTTTTTTTAGCAAGACATGAGTACGCTGACTTCAATCAATTCTGCTTAACATGAGCTCGAGCTCGAGTATCAGAAGCTCAATCGCAACAAGTGTTGTAAATGAACCGAACCGAACCGAGTTTGGCTGTTCGAGATTGTGTTTGTTTATGTTCGAACAGTGTTTGTGTTCGTTTGTTTAGTTATCGAGCAAAAAATCTTGTTCGAGTTCGTTCGTTTAATTGTTCGTCAAAGTTTGAGTTCGTTCGTGTTCGATTAATTTAATACAATTTTTTTTAAAAAAAAAAATTGTTTAATTAACTCGAAATTTGTTCGTTTGAACTCGTTCAAACTCGAAATAAAAGAATAAAATAAAAAATATTTTTATATTTTAAATTTTTTATTAAAAATATTATGTAAATATATAAAAAATAACTAAAATTATATTAAATTTTAGATTTTTTTATTAAAAAT